GAGGAAAGTAGATCCCCCAGTGTTGAGCAACTACCGATCGATCTCTAATCTCCCTCTGATTGGGAAAATTATCGAAAAAGCAGTAATGGAATCAAATAACATTATGGACGGTCTTCAGTCAGGCTCCAGAGGCACTGCAGCACAGAGACTGCACTGATCAAGATATTAAACGTGTGACGACCCTCGTCCCCTCGGTCCTCCTCGTCATCCTTATCTGAGCCTGATGTCCCCACCGCCGAGTTTTCAGCACCTGGGACAGTTCCCAGAGCAGCTCACACTCTCTCCTGGCAGTCCAGGACCTTGGAGAGAGGCACGCCAAAAAGGCAGCAGCTGATCTGAATCAGCCCACAGGACTTCAAAAGAGGAGCACAGCAGGCAGTCGGGGAGGTCCAAAACTAGTCTGCGATCCTCCTGCGCCGGTGTACTAGTTTATTCTAGTTTGAGCTATTGCTAAGCCGTAGTCTTTGCCCATTTTGGACTTGTTAGAAGTTAATCGCTAATCCTGCCTGACTTGGCCTTTTTACAGAGCTAGACTCTGTTTTTGTGTGCATTTCTCCCCGAGGGCTGGGGATCATTCTGATTTAGGTGTTTTTGTTAGAATAGCTGTGGACCTTTAGTTAGATAATCTTTGATTTAGAGAAGGATTCTTTAGTTATCTTTAGCCTTTAAGATGACTCCCTTTGTTAATAAACCTTTTGACTTTTACTCTCCTCACCTCGTTATTTGCACCGTCACACCCATCCGCCTGTTTTCACTGTGTTTTTCCCCTCATCCTCCTGGACGGCTAGGGGGGGACGTAACAAAACAACATTCGTCTCAACACTGATTCAGGTAAAGCATGTGTCTGATGATGCCTGACCTCAGTGCAGCTTTTGATACTGTGAACCACAACATCATTCTGGACCAAGGGCGTCAGTTTGTTTTCAGAATTGCTGGGGACAATAACCATACATTTGAGTGGGGTTTAACAATTGCTGGGGACAATAAAGTAGGCTAGCACAGGGGTCGGCAATCCGCGGCTCTGGAGCCGCATGCGGCTCTTCCATCCATCTGATGAAGCTCTCTGTGCTTGTAAAATAATAAATGGATATTTCAATGAAATGCTTTATATTTTACTGCATTAATTTTACACCTGTATGCCAATTCTAAATGTAGATTGTCTGCGTAAACCTGAACAGGTCCAACCCGGTCTGCGGTGGTTGACCGGTCACGCTTTGTGCGTAATCACATCGGCACTTTATGAGCTGAAGAGGATGTGAGATTCTGGGCTTCTCCTCAGATGGCTCCTGGATGTGTCGCCACATTGGAGCCAGGAACAAGCGCTATTCAGCCAAAGTTTCATAATCAGGGAACATTTTCTAAGTGACAAGTCTCTCTGAGAGACGGGGTTTGGAAAACACTCGCTTCAGTGGGAGGAATCTTCCCGCATGCGCACTGCATGGTTCTCTGCGTGGCTCTAGGGTTAATCAAGTTTAATTGTTTCTCTTTGCAACAATCTTCACAGGAAGGCAAAACAGTTAAACGGCAGGTTACATATATTTCCATTTGACTGTTTATTTTGACAGATGAACTCAAGGATGTTGCTTGGTTTGAAATAATTACCCAGACGCACACGGATGCTCATGGATGAGCTGACATTTTAATCGTTAACGCACACGTGGAGGTAAAATATTCCCATCAGAACATCAGAGCTCTTTATACTGGACACTGTGTTCAGCGCGGCTCGGAGCGCCCCCGGTGGACAGTGAGCTGAAGATCTGGGGTTCCAGCGCAGTGCAGAACCACGCGCATGCGATGATTTCCTCCCACTGAAACAGTCTGGAAACCCAGTCTCTCTGAGGGATGTGTCACTTGGAAAATGTTCTTTTTATGAAATGATGAAACTTTGGCTGAACAGCGCTTGTTCCCGTCTCTAATATGGAGACGCATGAAGCGTATAGACATTTGATCACGCACAAAGTTTATGTGGAGCAGAAGCGGTCGGGCCACGGCAGGTGAAACGTTCCTAGCCTACATGAAGTGTAACATTAATATGTTACTGGACACGCTGGTCTGGTTGGTTAGACCAGTGTTTGAAGTGGAAAACACACACACACACACACACACACACACACACACACACACACACACACACACACACACACACACACACACACACCAATTAAAATATAAAATAATGCTGATAGCATGGACTAGAAGACAGGTGATGGTTTACGTATTTAAATGATGATCAGGCTGCTGTAAAATGTAATCTCCATCCACATCCAGACACAATTATCCTCTATTCTTTCTCTAGTTGCTCTGCTCTTGTCTGGGCTGATCAGCTGATGGTGCGCGCGCGCCTAACTAGCGGCTGATGCACATTTTACGCATTTGGAGAGGTGGACTGGATGCTGTGCGTTTACTGGAAGATGGTCCACTTAACGCACGGGTGTAGACTACATATTAATGACAAATGAATGAAAATTAAATTGTGAGTTTTTACTTCATATTTTAGTAATAAAAATGACGGGGGAACACATTTATGACATCTTTTTAAACGAAATTTTCTAGCGCGACCTGCCTGCTTCACTTAAGTCACTGCTTATTAAGGTCCGTCCAAAATTACCGTGGGAAACGGGTAATAATGGCTCTTTGATGGGAACAGGTTGCCGACCCCTGGTATAAGATCTGAGCTGGTAAAACAAAAATCCTCATCAGCAGGCGTTTTTGAAAGTGGGGGGGACACAGCTGCCAATCACAAATTTTGCCGGGGACATGTCCCCAGCGTCCCCGGTTAAAATGACGCCTATGTTCTGGACAGACTCACAAAGTGGGTGGGACTATCAGGCACAGTGCTTGGCTGGTTCCAGTCCTATCTCAAAGACAGGGGCTATGTTGTCTCTATTAGGGACTACCAATCAAAGCAGATCACCATGACATGTGGGGTCCCCCATGGCTCAATTCCAGGACCACTATTCTATAATCTCTATATGCTGCCCCTGGGTCAAGTCATACTTAATAACAACATCTCCTATCATAGCTATGCTGATGACACCCAGATCTACCTAGCCCTATCACCTACTGACTGTTGTCCACTGGGCTCACTCTGTCAGTGCCTAGAACAAGTAAACGACTGGATGCAGTCAAACTTCCTTCAGCTAAACAAAGACAAGACTGAAGTTATTGTCTGTGGCAACAAGAAGGATAGAATGGATGTTATTGCTCAGCTAGACTCCAGGGGAATAAAGACAACGACCCAGGTTAGAAATCTAGACGTTATCATTGACTCAGACCTGAGCTTCTCTGGACATATTAAAGCTACAACTAAATCAAACATCAAGAGTGAGAGGTCTCATGTCCAGACCAGACTTAGAGAAACTTATTCATACTTTTATTTCTAGTCGGCTGGACTACTGCAATGGTCTCCTAACTGGTCTTCCCAAAAAAGCTGTGAAGCAACTGCAGCTTGTTCAGAATGCTGCTGCTAGAGTCTTAACAATAACTAAGATAACGGAGCACATCACTCCTGTTCTTAGATCTCTACACTGGCTACCAGTAAACTACAGAATAGACTTCAAAGTGCTCCTACTAGTTTATAAATCACTCAATAGCATGGGACCAAAATACATTTGTGGTCCCCTACACACAGCCTCCTGAACACCCAGATGGTCTGTTACATTTAACTTAACATGACTACAGGAGTTTTCAAGAAACTCCTGAAGACCCTGCTCTTCAGAGAGCATCTTCTTAACTAGCACCTTGCCTGCACCTGTCCCCCCTCTCTACTGTCCACTCCTTGTTCCCTACTCTCCATGACTGATGTCAATGTTGTTGTTGTTATTGTTGTTGTTTGCCTCAAGGGCAAAATGCTGATTATCACTTGTAAGTCGCTTTGGACAAAAGCGTCTGCTAAATACATAAACATAAATATTTAAGTTCCTGGCCCTGTTCAAGCGATCTGAGTGGCTAAACCTGAGGGGTGTGGGGTTGGGGAGGTTAGATTGGTGCTGCAACAGCAAAGACACGTCACTGTGGGTCTGAACAAATGGCAGACGGAGGCCACCTTCTACGGGGAGCCCGAGCTGCTCACTGGGTTTCATCTCACAGGACATGTGAAGGTTTTAGCCTGTCAATGGAGACCGTCTCTATACAATCGATAGAAGTTCATACACCAACTGTCTTGGTCTACATTTAATCCAAAGATTAATATTTAATTTAAGAAATTTAATTAACAGCAAAAGTTTATTTATTAAATAGAAGACTTAATGGAATCATTGCTTGCTCAATAACCAAATATACACCATTCTGTAACAGGGAGCGATGGGCATCATGCCGCAGGAAAACAAATCTGGCATCAGCCAAATTCCAGGGGACAAATGAGTGGGGTAGCCTATGGTGCACAGGTCTGGGAGCCTGCAAATGATCTGGCCCTTGAACAGGAACTGTAACACAGGCATAAAATGTGGTGCTGGGGATTATGGAAGGATTTCACCTGGGATTCACATTGTTTGTCCCAAAAATAATTCTTCAGGTGATGCAATGAGGTCTTCTCTATCCCAAGAACGGAGACCAAGCATGACCCAGGGCAGGCGGTCGAGTCAACTAGCATCTGTCAAATAAATTCAAGTAAATTGTGGTCCGGTGCGTTTTGACCCCCAGGTTGTGTGCCATGGCTGACCAAAGGTCAGAGATGAATTGGGTGCTCCTGTCTGAACTTATATCTGAGGGTGGGCCAACCCGAGCAACCCAGGATAACAGAAAGGCTTGGGCTACTACTGCGGATGTGGTAGATGGTAGGGACACCATTTCTGCCACTAAATCTAAAATGAGTGAAGCAGGAGATTCTGTTTTAGACTATAGAGGCTCACATTTCAGGAGAGTGAACCGGATTGAAAAACCAGACAGATGATTGGGTACATATTGAGTCAGATTCCCAGTATTTTACTTAGAAATCAGATACACTAGTACTACTAACCTGTTGCCAACTAAAAAAACAGTAATACAAACTTTCCAATGATGCTTTTATTGTGAAAGCGTGGAGTCCCACCGCCTGACTTCCTCTTATTATGTAAACAAAAAAGATGGCGGCGTCATGCATGCTTCGTGCCGTCCTTAACCGAGTTGTAAAGAGGTTCGGGAGTTCTGGAGGACACACGTAAGTTTTCCGTTCACGGATTACTAGACTACGGTCTCGGTGATACATAGCGCTAACGCGCACCTGTTCGTGGCGTCACTGAGCCGCTGCTCATGAGGGCGCATGAGTTGGTGCGGTTCTGTTCGGAACATTCAATGGTTCCGCTGAGGAAGAATGGGTTTGTGATGTCCAACAGGAAGCGTCTCATCTTTGGACACCATCTGGACTTCTGGGTAACTGAGACCAGACCAGAAACCAGCGGCGGAACCTTTCCTCTTGGTGGTGGAGGAGCAGCAGGAGGACGAAGAGGAGGAGGAGGAGGAGGAGGAGGAGGAGCAGCTTTGTGTGCAGCGATTGGTGAGTCGGTCCAGTTTGGGTAGTGAAGTTCTGAATTTAACAGGTAGCCAATGTAGGGAAGCTAAGACAGGAGAGATATGATCTCTCTTTTTAATTCTCATCAGAACTCTAGCTGCAGCATTTTGGACAAGCTGAAGACTTTTAACTACATCCTGCGGACCTCCTGAGGGTGTCTGCTGCAGCTGCCTCTGGGCCAGATCCTCGTTGGAAATGAGAATGTGTTCTCAATCCACTCATCTGGATAAATAAAAATAACATAAATTAATAGGTCTGAATGAAAACTGGTTGCTACCCCTCCTCCTCGCCCTGTACTTCGAGCAATATGATGATTTAAATAATTAGGAGTCGACTCGTTTAAGCTAACATAGTCCTCTTGCTGCAGCCAGGATTCTGTGAGAGAGAGCAAAGAGATCTGATTATCACAAATCAAGTCATTAACTAACAAAGTCTTAGAAAACATAGACCTAATGTTCAATAACCCACATTTAATTTTTCTAGTTTTCTGCTCAGTTGAATTTCTTCTAATATTTATGAGATTTCCTTGGTTTGCTTTATTAAGCCTGATATTTAATCTGTGTGGTTTTGGCCATGGGCAGGACACTGTCTCTATGGGGTAGTGGGTGGGTAACAGTACAGAAGCTGCAGAGGGGTGGGTTAAACTACGACTCTGCTTCCTGGTCTGGACCCTGGGTTGTCTCCCTGTGTGTCTGCAGCCTTCTCCCTGTTCAGGTCTGATGAAGATCAGACGAAGGAAGATAAGATGATCCTGCTGCTGAAGAAAGCCAAGGTACCAGATCTTCTACCTGACTGGATCAGATCCAGCAGTTACAGTTCTCGTTTGTATATGCATTGTCCGTTACGGCAGAGATTGGATTACCCGATTCTCAATTAGCCACTTACTCAAGGGCCATTATTATACACCCGCCTACTGGGCGGGCCTCGGCCTCCCATTTCTTCTTCATGCTGCGCACTCAAGAGCAAATAAACGCCCAGTGGTCATCAGATTTCTGCTTCATCTGAAAGACCTGCTCCTCCTGGCTCACTCCACAGCAGAAACAGCAATCCAAAAGGGAATGTTGGAAATCCTAGGTCATTTATTTTCCTGGGCGTGGAACCAGACTCCTCCCTCATTAGAGCCCGTCTCATACGAGATCTCTGCTGTGATCTTCCATGTAACACCTGACAGAACCGTCATGGCTCTGTTGGCTATGAGACCTTTGGGCCTGATGCTGGTGGCGACCCCAGTGGTTCTGCTCGGCTTGAACTCATTCCAGTTCTTTCTGTCTCTAACTTTTCTATTTTGGGCTGTAATTTCTTCAGCGTGGCCCAACACCGTTCTGACGTCCACTCAGATCCTTCGGCTGCCGTCCACTGAGAAGAAAATGTCACACCGATCTGTCTAGTTGTTCCTGAGTGTGGACTCTCACGATGACGGCGAGGAAGGTGTGGAACTTTGAAGATGAACATGACTTGCTGCCATTTCTTCACATTCATGTACAACTGATGAAAACACAAACAACAAAGTGGGAATTCTTGTTGCAAGTGGTGATGTATTCATGTCCCCGATCAGTGGACTGTGCATCTGCTCCAGCCCAACCTTACTGCTGCAGACATCTCTGGACCTGCAACAGCAGGGGGCCCAGTGGTGCTGTGACTGGCAGTCTGGGTGGACCACTTTTACAATAGGGAAAGAAAAATGAGCAAGCCGACCCTCCCTTTTCCAAACCAACAGGGTTGGTGGAACTGAGATTTCTGTCAGCGGGTCTCCTGCTGCGTGAATGCACGTTGACTTTTTACTCGTCATCATCGTTCCTCCTGCTGCTTGTTGGGGAGGGATTTATCTGGGTTTTGGCTAACTAATGTGTTCTTGTGGTCAGTGTGAACCATTCAGAATCAGACTACATCCAGCCACGCCTTCGTCCCATGCCTTGCCTTAAAGGGTGAAGCCTATATGAAATACAAGAATGGTTACTGACTGTGACCCCAGATGCTATGAGTACAGGCGTAGCCCCTTCAGGCAGCGAGCCTCGCTGGTTCCTGTAGGTTCAAGAGCCTTTGGGAGACGAATGATGGATTCACATCCCTTTTATACCAGATTATGGCCCACCTAGTAGGTGGGCATATATTGAAGGCTCTTCAGTAAGAAGCTAAACGAGGATCAGGTTACCAATCCAGCCGTAAAGCCGTGTGTGTGTGTGTGTGTGTGTGTGTGTGTGTGTGTGTGTGTGTGTGTGTGTGTGTGTGTGTGTGTGTGTGTGTGTGTGTGTGTGTGTGTGTGTGTGTGTGTGTGTGTGTGTGTGTGTGTGTGTGTGTGTGTGTGTGTGTGTGTGTGTGTGTAGCTCAGCATACATCGTGGACAGCTGCAGGCAGCCTCCTCCTTCTTCCATCAGGTTCTGGTTCTGGCTCATCAGACTCACAACAACCAGGCCATCATCTATACCTATAGTCAGGTAAATCCTCACCAGTCCACCTGAGGAAGAGGCCACACCCCCTCTGGAATATGTGTACTACACATATGTACAATCCAGCAATACTGTTTTTTCTGTCCTGTTTAGATGGCGAACTTGGCTTTCGTCCAAGGTCAGCTGGACAGCGTGAGTATCCAATTAGAGCTCAGAAATAGGAGGTCAGCTGATCTCTGACTCATCTTAACTCCATTTGAGTTAGAATGAGTCCTGAAGGCTGATCTCTGCTGGTTTTGATCTGGATATGCTCCAATCATTTCTTTTCTTCTCAGGCAGAGAAACTGTTCAAAGCAGCAATGAACTTTATGCTAGTAGGAGGAGCTCCACAGGTGAGCATCACCTGTCCCTGTCCTGTCTCTCTCCTGTCTCTCTCTTGTCTCTCACCTGTCTCTGTCCTGTCTCTCACCTGTCTCTGTCCTGTCTCTCTCTTGTCTCTGTCCTGTCTCTCTCTTGTCTCTCACCTGTCTCTGTCCTGTCTCTCTCTTGTCTCTCACCTGTCTCTGTCCTGTCTCTCTCTTGTCTTTCTCTTGTCTCCTACCTGTCTCTCTCTTGTCTCTCACCTGTCTCTGTCCTGTCTCTCACCTGTCTCTGTCCTGTCTCTTTCTAGTCTTTCTCTTGTCTCCTACCTGTCTCTGTCCTGTCTCTCTCTTGTCTCTCACCTGTCTCTCACCTGTCTCTGTCCTGTCTCTCTCTTGTCTTTCTCTTGTCTCCTACCTGTCTCTCTCTTGTATCTCACCTGTCTCTCTCTTGTCTCTCACCTGTCTCTGTCCTGTCTCTCTCTTGTCTCTCTCTTGTCTCTCACCTGTCTCTGTCCTGTCTCTCTCTTGTCTCTGTCCTGTCTCTCTCTTGTCTCCTACCTGTCTCTGTCCTGTCTCTCTCTTGTCTCTCACCTGTCTCTCACCTGTCTCTGTCCTGTCTCTCTCTTGTCTTTCTCTTGTCTCCTACCTGTCTCTCTCTTGTATCTCACCTGTCTCTCTCTTGTCTCTCACCTGTCTCTGTCCTGTCTCTCTCTTGTCTCTCTCTTGTCTCTCACCTGTCTCTGTCCTGTCTCTCTCTTGTCTCTGTCCTGTCTCTCTCTTGTCTCCTACCTGTCTCTGTCCTGTCTCTCTCTTGTCTCTCACCTGTCTCTCACCTGTCTCTGTCCTGTCTCTCTCTTGTCTTTCTCTTGTCTCCTACCGGTCTCTCTCTTGTATCTCACCTGTCTCTCTCTTGTCTCTCACCTGTCTCTGTCCTGTCTCTCTTGTCTCTGTCCTGTCTCTTTCGTCTCTCACCTGTATAAATGTAATTCCCACTTTACCTGTAATCCTCTAACCATCTGTTTTCTGACTGAAGTTTGAAGATTGAAAGACCAACATCTGATTATGTGAAACTCTTGAGTGACTCCAGAGCCCCCTTCAGACAGGCCATGAAAAACGGAAATGTTCCGGAATCTGTCTGTAAGACCTTTCTGTCTGAATACAAACATCCGGATAACGTGTTCCGGAATTTATCCGGACGAAGCCCCTAGTAACAGGTCCGGACTTGTTACGGACAAGGTGGCTGCTTCAGACTGGTGAGGTAGAGTTCCGGACAAGGGGGAGGGGGAGGAGGAGGGGACCGGGGGACGCTGTGCGCACCTATATAGCCTGCTGCTGTAGCATGCTATATAGCATACACTTAAGAGTCTTTCTGTAACCACGGCAGCTCGCCTCCTACGGTACCGTCTAGACGCGCGACGGAGCGCTTCACACCGCTTCAGTGATTCCTTTAACCATTGAGCTTCATCATCCAGGTCTCTTATGCGTCTTCGTGTGTGCAGAATATGCTTAAGCGCCTCGTGATTTTTATCTTGAGAGGCGCTATAGAAATGATATTTTCTTCTTCTTCTTAACATGAGTCCGATCCCCCCCCCCCGTCAGACATCTGGAACTTTTCCCTGCTGTGTGAACGCAGCCGAAAAGGACAAGTTCCGGTACAAAAGTGGTGTGTCTGAAAACACAGTTCCGGTTAAAAACCAGATTGAATTGTCCACAAATGTTCCAGAATGTCTATCTGAAAAGGGCTCTAGAGACGTTTTTCCCAGCTGAGCAGCTCCTTTTGTTCCTAAAGAAGTTTCGAATGCTTCTGTGTCCTCATCCCTCACCTCCTCTCTGTGTCCAGGATGACAACGCCATCATAGAGATGTCTCTGAAGCTGGCCACCATCTACGCTGAGCAGAACAAGTAAGATCTGGGGACAACAGATCATCTAACACAAGCCTCAGAGGCCAAAGTTCACAGATATCGGTTTCCTGTTTGAGGTTGGAGCTGGCAGAACACGGGTTCATGTTCTGCACTGAATCTCTGGAGGCCAAACTGGAGAAACACAAGGAGCTGTCAGAAGAGGAGAAGACAGGTGAGACAGGAAGAAATGGATTTGTAACTGTCCACATATGTGTTATTGTCTTTTTGTCCCCAGAGGAGCAGGAAGCCTTGAGGAAAGAGACCCGCCTCCTTCTTGGTCTGTGTTTGGATTCCCGCGCTCGATACCGAGCATCAGCGTTGCGCCTAACCCAGGCAGCACAGGACTACCAGAATGCCCTGGACATTTGCCGCCAGGAGCAAGGAGAGACCCACCCACAGGTAGTGGACCACCTGAGACACATTGCCAACACCAGACCATTAAGGGTGGGACAAAATACCAATTTGGCTAAATATTGCGATATTTCAACTCACGGACAAAACCCAGTATGCTCCTTTTATATTGTTTTATTAAGCTCTACCGCAGAAGTCCATCACGGCTGCTCCTCATGAGAATGACAGAAAATTGAGCTGAAGGTGAAGAAGAAGAAAACAAGTGAAAGTGGCAGAGTTGAGCAGCAGGGAAGGACATATTAAAAGTTGCAGCAGCAAGTTTTGAGTTTAAAGTTTGGGCTCACTTTGGGTTAGAAGTGTGGAAGGAACAGAGCTGGATGAAGAACGGCCTCCCAAAGCTACGATCATGCACAGCCACCTCCTTCAGCACCTTCTGGAGCCAGCAGAAGAGGCTGTGGCCATTAGCTGGCCTGCACAGCCTGGCTTACTTTTTCAGGCAAAGCTCTGTTTTAATCTTACTTAAGCCACACTGATAGCTCGTGCCATCTCTGTGTAAGTAGGTGAGTTAGATTTATTCAGGACTTATCACAGAAAGACAATCACAACGTGTTTCATAGATCAAAAAGTCATAGAGCCATATAATCATAAGGATCTTAAAAGACAAATACATCAGAGTCATAAAATTATTAAATTATCATAAATATAAAACAAATGAAAGATTATTACAAATTCCAGTTAAAAAATAGGAAAACGAAAGATTTATGTAAAAGCAGCTTTGAATACGAGGGTCTTTAGCTGTCTGTGGACCTTCTAGAAGGTTCTGGTGGGTGGACCTGAAGACTCGGGTTGGAGCATAAAGCTTGGTTTATGCTTGACGCATTCACTTTCGACTTGGTGATGCGGCTCGCGGATGGAACGCGCTTCACAACTCGCAGCGTTTATGGTTCATGCGGCTCGTCTCTGCTGTGAGCCAATATTCTCCCAAACTGAACGGGGCAGCATGGAGCTCTACAGCATGGATCCAACACTACACCATAGTAGAAGTAAAAATTACTGTTTACAACATGGCATTCCAGCATTTTTAACAGCGTCCTCGTCTTTTCCGACAGTGCGAGCTATTTCTCTCCAAGAATTATTAACAACATGTTGATCACGTGATCTTTGAGAGCTGAATCATACAAATGTCTGTATTTACGAACCTCTGCCAAACTAGTTCTTGCCGGTCCACCATGTTTTTACGCGTCCGACCGTCCGCGTGGTTAGAAATTTTCCTAGGTGCGCGTTGCGGAAATTTTGGGCCGTGCGGAAGTGTGGTGGAGGGGCGCGGTTGTTCAAATGATGCAATTTCGCCTTGCGGAGCCGTGCGGACCTCGCGGACGCGTCAAGCATGAACCAACCTTTAGAGTGGTGAAGGCGGGAACGACTGTCTCAAAAGGCTGTGTTGACTTCTTATTTACCTCGACGACGGCGGTCTTCATCAGAAATGCCACAGATGTTTGTGTGACGTGTCTCTATCAGCTGATCTTCTGATGAAGACCGCAGCCAAGGCCAACACAAACTTACCTGTCTGAAACAGAAAGACTCTTAAGTGTAAACGACAACCCGCTACTCTACGACGGATCAGATTAGAGATTTTATTTGTTCCTGACGGGAATCTCTCCTCTGTCCTGACTGATTATGACCTCTGCTGCTTCTTTGGTTCCTTCTGCCCTTTGCCCTTTGTACGAACGTTCAGACTTTGGTCCTGATGAGTGACCTCGCCACCATCTTGGACCTGCAAGGTCGTCATGACGAGGCCTTGGTGCTAGTCCAGCACGCAGTGCATCTGAGCCAATCTGTGGGACATCCTGACCATCATGTGTTGCTGGGAAACATGGCAGGTATTCTGCTGCACACAGGTGAGTACAGGCGAGGCTGCAGCTAGTCCCAACACTGCTCTTTTGCTCTCATCTGGTCTGGTTCTGCTCCCCTAGGCCAGCTGGAGGACTCGGTCCGGTTCTACCAGGAGGCGCTTGGTCTGGCCCGGCAGGCTGGGGACCAGGAAGCCATGAATCACATCAAGGACGGACTGAAGGAGGTGGAGAAGAGGAGGAGCCAGGAGAGATACGAGAAGAGAGGCAGCACAACAATGAAGGAACCAGAACATGGATCTGTTTAGTTCTGTAGGGTCCTGTTGACCCAGTGTGTGTGTGTGTGTGTGTGTGCGTGCGCGCGCGTGTGTGTGTGTGTGTGTGTGAATGTGTGTGTGTGTGTGTGTGAGAGAATTCCTCTTCTCTTTCATGACTTGCAGAACATAAACAGAGGGATGACGATAAACACTCTGAAGACTTTAGGTCACTCTGTTGTTTGTGTACAGAAAGGGGGCGGGGCTTAACCAAACACCTGGTTTCTCCTGAGAACCATGCCTTTGTCTCGTTGTGACGACACTGATGTAAACACAGCTGGTTGTTTTTGGTTCAATAAATCAAAGCTAACTTATTGTTTCTGAGTGTGTGAACTTCCTCTTTGGACTCAGAGACGGGAACGGAGAGCCCTCACCTGCTGGTGGATGAGCTGCTCCGGTTTGACGGCAGTGTGAGGGAGATCACCTTAAGACCTGCTCTGTCCTGGATGTCATGCAGAAACATGTCAGGCTCTGATCCAGAAGATCTCATCAACAGAAGACAGCTCAGGACTGTGTGGGAAAACCATAATTATTGTTGTGCTGAAAGGTTCATGAAACACAAACATCTGAGATGATTTAAACCACTGCAGAGAGCGAGCGAGCTTCTGATCCTGCAGACTGGGCGACCCATCATACACAGCAGGTAAGAACACACATTCACGGACATCAGGTTCTGGTTCTGAACTATTTCCTACTACTCTGGTAAAATGGAGCTTTGTAAAGGTGCCGAGGATGGCTCCACTCTGGAGCTGCTCTGGCAGAGCCACCTGTTCAAGTCCAGGCTCAGCTCTCCACCTACACAGATGATGGTTAGAAGAAGAAAGGTTTCACCTCCAGCACCTAACCTGATCATCTAACCCCAACCAGAACATCTCACCAGAGAACTGGTCCAACATAATAGGACTTCATGAGAACCCTACAAACCTGACAGGTGTGTGACAGGCCAGTCGTTGGGTGGTGCCCTCCTTTCCAAAGGTCTTGAATGATCAGGACAGTCCAGGCCATCATATTTAGATGGGTGGTTCTTCCGTGCTGCCAGGTGTTCATGGGGTCCTGGATGGTTCTGGTGCAGTGGTCCAGTCTGGTTTTATCGTTGACGGCAGGGTTTCTCAACCCTGGTCCTCAGCGTCCCCTGTTCTGCCTGTCTCTGCTTCAGCACACCTGCTTTACATAACTGAATAGCCTCAGGAGGACATCAAGTGCTGCAGAATTCCGTTAATCAGTCATTAATTTAAGTCAGGTGACCATGCCTCCACTGGCCTATCAGGGTTGGAGTTCCAGGTCCCAGTCCCTGCTAGTGACACCAAAGGAGATGAAGGTTTTGAGTGGCTGGCCCCAGGAACAGCCTTCCCTCAGAGACTTAAAACTTATTTCTTTGACCAGTTTTTAGAATTGGTTCATCTGTGCAGCTGTTCTTTTACCTCTTATCCTGTTTTACTCTCAGCCTGTTATTTTAGTCATGGTTTTAAGTCGTCTATTTTATATCTTTTAGTTGTTTCGTTCTCTGGGTGTGTTTATGTGGTGTTTGGGTTGCATGAGCAACAGTTAATGTGTTAAATATGAATGAGTGAGCCCTAACCCAGCCCGTAAAGCCTTACAAGACCCTATTCAACAAAAGGAGGAAATGGCTGTGTTACATAGCCTAACCCTAACCCGTACATAACAGGATACAGAACCACTGATCTAACATTTCACCTTCAGGTAACCAAAACAAATCTGAATCTCTCCAAACAGACAATCGTAGAGGATTACACTCCGGACAATTAAACGGTCTGCATCACATAAAACACACAAACGTTGCTCCTCCAGGAACCCTTTTTATCGCAGGACCCAGCTCGTAACTTTCACCAAGTAATCAATGGTGATAAATGACCCTACCTTGACCTCATGGACAGCAGCTAGCCTTTTGACTCAGACATGCCACGGACCTGAAACCACTAGTTTATGTTAGAGGAGGGTTAGGGTCATAAATCAGTCCCATGTCTTCCTTCCATGTTCTCTGATCTCTGGTAAGACTTCATCTGTCCAACTCCAGCTGTTTTATCATCTGATGTCCCTTTGTTGCTACAGAGACCTCCTCCAGTGTTCGCTGTCCTACAGAGAACCAAAGGTGTGTTTCCACCTTTTTGGGGGTTCTAGATCCAGTTCCAGTAGATCTAGTTCCAGCAGATGTAGTTCCAGTAGATCTAGTTCTAGCAGATGTGGTTCCATTAGATCTAGTTCCAGCAGATGTAGTCCCAGTAGATCTAGTTCCAGCAGATGTGGTTCCAGTAGATCTAGTTCCAGCAGATGTAGTCAGAGTAGATCTAGTTCCAGCAGATGTGGTTCCAGTAGATCTAGTTCCAGCAGATGTGGTTCATGTAGATCTCGTTCTAGCAGATGTGGTTCCAGTAGATCTAGTTCTAGCAGATTTGTTTCCAGTAGATCTAGTTCTAGCAGATTTGTTTCCAGTAGATCTCGTTCCAGCAGATGTGGTTCATGTAGATCTCGTTCCAGCAGATGTGGTTCATGTAGATCTCGTTCTAGCAGATGTGGTTCATGTAGATCTAGTTCCAGCAGATGTGGTTCATGTAGATCTCGTTCCAGCAGATGTGGTTCATGTAGATCTAGTTCCAGCAGATGTAGTCCCAGTAGATCTCGTTCCAGCAGATGTGGTTCATGTAGATCTCGTTCTAGCAGATGTGGTTCATGTAGATCTAGTTCCAGCAGATGTAGTCCCAGTAGATCTCGTTCCAGCAGATGTGGTTCATGTAGATCTCGTTCTAGCAGATGTGGTTCATGTAGATCTAGTTCCAGCAGATGTAGTCCCAGTAGATCTCGTTCCAGCAGATGTGGTTCATGTAGATCTAGTTCCAGCAGATGTGGTTCATGTAGATCTAGTTCCAGCAGATGTGGTTCATGTAGATCTAGTTCCAGCAGATGTGGTTCATGTAGATCTAGTTCCAGCAGATGTAGTCCCAGTAGATCTCGTTCCAGCAGATGTGGTTCATGTAGATCTCGTTCTAGCAGATGTGGTTCATGTAGATCTAGTTCCAGCAGATGTAGTCCCAGTAGATCTCGTTCCAGCAGATGTGGTTCATGTAGATCTCGTTCTAGCAGATGTGGTTCCAGTAGATCTAGTTCTAGTAGATTTGTTTCCAGTAGATCTCATTCCAGCAGATGTGGTTCATGTAGATCTCGTTCTAGCAGATGTGGTTCCAGTAGATCTAATTCCCACAGATGTGGTACATGTAGATCTCATTCCAGCAGAAGTAGTTCCAGTAGATCTAGTTCTAGCAGATGTGGTTCCAGTAGATCTAGTTCTAGCAGATGTGGTTCCAGTAGATCTCGTTCCAACAGATGTGGTACATGTAGATCTCATTCCAGCAGAAGTAGTTCCAGTAGATCTAGTTCTAGCAGATGTGGTTCCAGTAGATCTAGTTCTAGCAGATGTGGTTCCAGTAGATCTCGTTCCAGCAGATGTGGTTCCAATTTAAAAACACGAGATGTTTATACTGAGTTGAAGTTTTATTTAAATGTGATGTATCTTCTCTACAGGTTTTGTTTGACACTCAAAGGTCCTGACCCTGCAAACATAATGGACCTGGATCAGAACCCAACAGGTTCTTCTCACATCCCTCAGCATGCTGTAAGTTCAGCCATGATTTCAATGGTATCTTAATGAATTAGCTTCTTCATGCTTCTCTGAAGAAATGTTGTGAAGGTTGTCCTACTAGACCCAGGTCCAAATATGAATTCAGGTCCAGCTACAGTAAATGTGTTCATTGATGACCAACAGAAGAGTCTGATTCTGGTGTCTGTTTCAATTTAATCCGATGGACCGGTAAAGGAACTGTCTCTGAGCAGCTGGTTCCACATGATGCTCGTCGTAGTCCACCTGAACCTGACCTTCTGAATGAGGTGTCTGTTGGTTCATTCATGATCACATCTAGTTTGGTTTGATCCAAGCCCAACTAACCCCAACCAAAACAAACCAAAACCAAGCTAAATTTCACCGAGCCACAAACCTACTCAGAACCCCTGATCCAGTTTAGAACATCGGATCTAATCAGGACTTGTCCTTTAATCTTTAAAAGCTTTTCCAGATCTTCAGAATTCATGAAGGTCTGAATGAGTCTTTTCTCAAATGATTTTGGCTCATGTTCAGAGGAAGTCCTTGTCTTCCTTTGGCCAATTTCCATCTCCTGCAAGATCCAACTGCACCTGAGTCACTAATAAACCAAAGAATGAACAGAACTTTGGTTCATTTGTTCTTTCCCAACAAACATTTCTTGAGCTGGATAACTTTGGATCAAGACTCAACTATTCATGTGTATGGAGCCTCCATCAGGTGTCATAACTCCTCTCCTTCTCCTTGTAGTCTTGTCCTCCCTTACGTTGCCATGGTGATGAGGAGATAGACCCCCACAAGACTGATGTTCAGCAGATGGTTAAACCTGCACCATTCATCAGCCCAAGCAGACATCAGGTCTTTGATGAACAGGACATGAAAGGTGAGATGCACAAATGTTCCTGTTTCAGACGCTCCAGACGATGTCCAGTCTCCTCTGGACCATCAACAGTTTGGTTTGAGAACATGTCCCACCAGGAGACTTATTGTTTCAGTAACCAGGCCTAAGTCTTCCTTTATCCTTACATAGCACTGACAGCCTGGACACTTTTAAAGCTGCTTTTACCTAAACCTTTTATTTTCTTACTTTTAACTCAAATTTTTAATCATCTGTTTATGAACTTTTATAATTTTACAACTTTATTTTTCTGATGTTAATCTGTTTCTGTTTTGAGATCGTTATGATTTTATGACTTTTTATTTTGTTTTGATTTATGTGAAGAACATTGTGATTCTGTCTGTGATAAAAGTGATACAGAAAAAAAATTTACTTAAATAATTTTAGAAAAAGTGTCTGCAGGAGAGAATTACAGCTGAGAAGGTTACACACACACACACACACACACACACACGGATAAACACACACACACACACACACGCACACACACACACACACACACACACACACACACACACACACACACATATGGATAAACACACACACACACACACACACACACACACATATGGATAAACACACACACACACACACACACACACACACACACACACACACACACACACACACACACACACACACACACACACACATATGGATAAACACACACACACACACACACACACACACACACACACACACACACACACATCTGGATAAACACACACACACACACACACACACACACACACACACACACATATGGATAAACACACACACACACACACACACACACACACACACACACACACACACACACACATATGGATAAATAAACACACACACACACACACACACACACACACACACACATATGGATAAACACACACACACACACACACACACACACACACACACACACACACACACACACACACACACACACACACACACACACATATGGATAAACACACACACACACACACACACACACACACACACATATGGATAAACACACACACACACACACACACACATATGGATAAACACACACACACACACACACACACACACACACACACACACACACACACACACACACACACACACACACAAGAGTTGTCCATATCGTGCTCTCCTTGTCCACCAGACTCATGGGAATGTTCTGCTGTCTAACTGGATCTCAGGCTCCACTGAACATCACATAAGCTTCATCCAGAACAAAGTCTGACAGAGTCGTCTAATCAGATTCCAGCTTCTCAGGTAAACGATGACATCAGCAGCAGGTGCACAGGCTCTCAGGTTTCAGTCAAAATTGGATTTTTCTTTTCAAAGAAATTAGAAGATTGATTGCGAGCAGCCAGTCAGAATCAGGCAAGGAGACAGCTCACAGACACCTTTAACCCGCAGGGCAGGTGGGAAAAGTGGGAAAAGTGAACAAGGTGAAACTCAGTCCGTCTAGTTCTGACAGCTCGCCAATACAGACAGCCTTCCCAAAGACCCACTTCCTTTTGTTCTGAAGGAACCAGAACCAGGCAGTATGGGATCTGGTTCCAGGATGGACTTGTGTGTGTGTGTGTGTGTGTGTGTGTGTGTGTGTTTATCCATATGTGTGTGTGTGTGTGTGTGTGTGTTGTGTGTGTGTGTGTGTGTGTGTGTGTGTGTGTGTGTGTGTAGAAGGGGCTACCTGGTAACTCCACAATCTGAACTTGGATGAGTAAAAAACAATGACTGAATGAATGGATGATAGCTGGATAATGGATGGATGGATGATAGATGGATTGATTGATGGACGATGGATAAATTGTTGGAAGAATGACGGATGGATGGATAGACAGTAGATGGATGGATAGATGATAGATGGATGGATAGATGGATGATGGATATGTTGATGACCCCCACTATCAATGGATAGATGATAGATGGATTCATTGATGGATGGATGGATGGATGATAAATGGATGGATAGATTGATGGATGTATAATGGATGGATGGATGGATGGATAGATGATAGATGGATTGATTGATTGATGGTTGATGGATAGATGGATGGTGGATGGATGGATAGACTGATGAATAGATTGGTGGATGAATGATGGATGGATGGATGGATAGATGATCGACGGATGATAGATAGATTGATAAAAGGATGGATGAATGGATAGATGATAAATGGATTGATTGATGGATGATGGATGGATGGATAGATGATAGATGGATGATGGATATATTGATGGATGGATGGATGGATGGATAGATGATAGATGGATGGATAGATGGATAGACGATAGATGATAGATGGATGGATAGATGATAGATGGATGATGGATTCATTGATGGATGGATGGATAGATTGATGGATAATGGATGGATGGATGGGTAGATGATAGATGGATTGATTGATGAATGGATGGATAGATGATAGATGGATTCATTGATGGATGGATGGATTGATGGATGTATAATGGATGGATGGATGGGTAGATGATAGATGGATTCATTGATGGATGGATAGATTGATGGATGTATAATGGATGGATGGATATATTGATGGATGGATGGGTAGATGATAGATGGATTCATTGATGGATGGATAGATTGATGGATGTATAATGGATGGATGGATATATTGATGGATGGATGGATGGATGGGTAGATGATAGATGGATGATGAATGGATGGTGTAGCATTAAGGATTGGCTACTTATTTATTAAATGATTAATAAGATGTGATATTCCATATAAATATGAAATATCAATCTGATTGGTCTTTGAATGTTTAATCAGAGGACTTTAGGTTCTTTGACTTATTAGGGAACACACACTTCACATGAATTCTGACAGAGTCAAGAATATAGTTAAAAAATGACTTTAATCCTATTTTTTAAAACTAAATGATTGTGCATTCAGAATCAGAATCAGAAAAGCTTTATTGCCAGTGCTCCAGCGTCCCGAAGCATAAGAACGTGACTCCGCAGCACAGCCTGACCAAGGTTACACACACACACACACACACACACACACACACACACACACACACACACACACACACACACACACACACACACACACACACACACACACACACACACACACACACACACACACACACACACACACACACACACACACACACACATGTAGACAAAACAGATACAGGCAGACCACGAGAGCAGCCATGAACGGCGCTCATGCATGACAAAGTATGAATGAAATGATGGTTGTATGGATAACAGATGATGAATGGAATGATGGAATGTGAGCCAGATGCTTTAGCAGAACCTTTCTTAAGTATCTGAGAGAGCTTGTGCTGTCTGGGTTGTAAAATCAGGTTGGCTGTATGGTTTGATAAGCTAAAGTTTGTTTATAAAGCCATCAGACGCAGTTTGTGCTGGTGTACAACACCCTTGTGTGGAGATCCCCATGTGATCCAGAAGGTCAGGAGGTTGAGCTGGACACTGCTGATGGCATGGACCTCTGGTAACGGAGCTCATAGATTAGCTCAGATTACGACCCGTCTAGTCTGGGTTAATCTCCCAGTGACTGCAGTAAGCTGGATTGCTTGTTTAGCGTCTAAGGCTGTTTGGTGGCTCTTAAAAGACCTGTTGTGTCTGACATCACCTGCGAGCTTTGCAGAGCAATGTTCTGACCTGAGGTCAGAAGAGAGGATGGTCTTAAATTCTTGCTCACCAGTTTGGCTGAACCAGAAGGCAGCTGGAAACTGACTAGATCAGGAAGTAATTCCTGTTTTATCACATTCCTTGTTTACAAACTTAGACAAATCAGAATTTGACACATTTTAAAGGGCTTGACCAAAAATACCTCAGAATGCATGCCTTCCCTCAGATATTCAGAGAGGTTAACTCTTAGTGTGGAGTAAAAATGTGTTTTACACATTTATGTGAAGTGAATGTTAAACATTAATAATAATAATCTTATGATGTATGAATATACTGACAGATTAAATTATTAAATCAACAAATACTGATCTGGTGTAGTTTAAGATCTGAAGTGAATCACTGCAGGAAAAAAATATTCATTTTAGCCCATCATTGATTAATGCACAGAGTATTCAAACACTGGGATTTAAACATCTCGATTATATGACTCTTATATGCAATTATCATGTTTTAAAAAGTCATTTATGATTCATTGAAGATTAACTTTGTTTAGAGTGAAAGTAAAATGTCTCATCTTCTGCGTGAGACCTTGGGCGAAGATATTATGGCTTCCTTGTTTGGTAACAAGGTCTTGTGTGGTGCTTCTTGTTTGGAGGCCAGACAGATGGGATGTTTGTGTCTGCGAATTAAAAGTTAGTTTCTGTTCATCTGGATGAAAAACTTCACCTTTGGTATGCTACAATGAATAGATGGATGGATGGATGGATGAACTGATGATGGATGGAAAGAAAGAAAGAAAGAAAGAAAGAAAACCATCTATTGTAAAGCGCCTTTCAAGATAAAAATCACAAGGCAATTCACAAAAACAAAACAAAAAAATATTAAGTATAAAAAGATTTCCAAAATTATTAAAAATATGTTTAAAAGGAGAAAAATATTAAGGAAAGGGAGACAGAAAATGAACAGGAAAGAAGGAAATCAGTGTATCCCGGGAAAGGCGGAATAAGAGCAGAATAAGGAGAGGGTGGCGACACAAAGGTTGGAAAGTTACGTTCTTCAGTAAAGTTGGCAAAATATTGACATATTCTACATTTATGGCTCAATAACTTCTGATGAGAGTCATTTTGAAACGTAACGTACATCTTTGGTATCACGGCAAGGTCGTGAACAAACTTCAAGTTGAGGCTGGAGGTTACTCAGATGAAGTTACCAAGCCTTGCTGCTGTTTTAGCAGCTGTCAGTATAGACAGCAGGTAGATGGATCTAAGGTAATGACTGATTAGGGTTGTGGTACTTGGCAGCACCTGTTATATCTTTGTGTCTTTCTCTTTGGGCGTGTCCCTTCAGGTGTCTCCCTGTCTCCATTTAATCCTGTTTTCTGCGTCCATCACACCAAATAACTTCATGGCCTTCTTGTCTTCTTTCATCTTCTTGGTCTTCTTCTCAGCCTCCTGCCAGGTGGCTCCAACATCAGCATCCTTCTACCTTCATCAGTCTCTCCTCTGGACAAGTCCAAACATCTAACATGAGCTGTCCCTCATTCCTGATCCTATCCATCCTCATCCCTCCCAAAGAGAACCTCCAGTTCTGTCTCTTGTCATGTCCTCATGGACACTGTCTCCAAATCAGACAACATGGCTGTGCCCACTTCTACCTTCTTTTCTTCTAGTGTCTGTAACGTCACAACTCAACATGTGTCTCTCTCATTTCCATATATGTGTTCTGTCGTGCTGTGATTTGAGACTTATTTGGTCTGAATGCAGCTTTGACCAGCAGGTGACCTTTTTCTCTCCACTTCTTCAGGTCAACAGGTAGACAGCGCTGGCACCAAAGGACCAGTTCACACACTCATCAGAGATGAGCCCAGCAGGCCAACAAACCAGCAACACCTGAGAGTGGACCACACACCTTATCAGGTTAGAGGGAGGAGCTTAAAATGACTCAAATGTTTTTTCTGTTCAACTTTTCAAGCATTATTGCAACTAATGTATAATATTTGATGTGACTGAAGCATAATAATACAGGGAAATGGAATATTCTGAGGGCATGATGTGACCCTCGAGTTCCGCAGCTTGACACCTCTGATCCAGAGTGCCCAGACCTTTCAGACATGTAGACCCAGATAGATGGATGACCCTGTTTGTCATTTTTTTTTGTTTAATTTCCGTTCTCACTGCAGTCCATCTGGACCCAGCCCAGAGGTTCTGTGTCTGGCTGTTGGGTTTACTAGGTTCAGGTGTTCTTTTGGTGTGGAATGTGTGGGGCTAATGGGAGGTTAAGCCGGGTGTGAACAAGTGAGGAAGAGTAACACAGGCTGAGTGGGTGAGAGGTGTCAGGTAAAATCTGGCTGCTGAGTGTTTCTCTCATTTGATTCGTATCTGGTCTTCATGATGTTGGGTTTGACGAGTCATCAAAGCAAGGTAGTGCTGCGTGTTATCTAGTCAGGTGATGTCTTCCTTTTTAACCGAGACGAATCAAACTTCTAGATTTCTTGTTCGATTGGTTCTGGTTTGGATCTGGTTCTATTTAAACTTCATCTCATTTTCCTGTCACTGACAGTCATTTATGTGGTTGTGAATCAGATTTTTGTGGAGCTGGACGAGCTGGTGATCGACCAGAACCAGCAGCTGCAGTGGAGAGAGATGGCTCAATGGGTCAGGTCAGAGGAAGTGGGCCAGGAGGAGGTTCAGGAAGAGCCTGAGTGCTGGGGGACAACCAACATCAAATCGCTGTCCTTCTGTTCTCTGTTGGAGCTCCGAAAGACCATCTTCCATAGTAAGAATGTGATAGTAATGATGATGATGTCGTTGTTTGTGGAGATGGTGATGATGATGATGATGATGATGGTAATAATGATGATGTGATGATGACGATGATGATGATGATGATGGTAATAATGATGATGGTGATGATGATGAGGATGATGATGATGATGGTAATGATGATGTTGTTGGTTGTGATGATGATGATGATGATGATGATGATGATGATGGTAATGATGATGTCGTTGGTTGTGGAAACGATGATGATGATGATGATGATGATGATAAAGTTGATGGTGATGATGATGACTGATGAAGTTGATGGTGATGATGATGATGATGATGATGATGATGATGATGATGATGTTGATGGTGATGATGATGATTGATGAAGTTGATGGTAATGATGATGATGATGATGATGATGAAGTCGGTGATGATGATGATGATGATGGTAATAATGGCCTTATTAATGATGTTGATGTGATGATTAAGTTGATTGTGATGATGATGAAGTTGATGATAATGATGATGGTAATAATGATCATATTAATGATGTTGATGTGAAGATGAAGTTTGATGGTGATGATGATGAAGTTGATGGTGATGATGATGAAGTTGATGATGATGATGACGATGATGATGATGATGATGATGGTGATGATGATGATTGATGAAGTTGATGGTAATGATGATGATGATGATGAAGTTGGTGATGATGATGATGATGATGATGATGATGATGGTAATAATGGCCTTATTAATGATGTTGATGTGATGATTAAGTTGATCGTGATGATGATGAAGTTGATGATAATGATGATGGTAATAATGATCATATTAATGATGTTGATGTGAAGATGAAGTTTGATGGTGATGATGATGAAGTTGATGATGATGATGACGATGATGAAGTTGGTGATGATGATGATGATGATGGTAATAATGGCCTTATTAATGATGTTGATGTGATGATTAAGTTGATCGTGATGATGATGAAGTTGATGATAATGATGATGTAATAATGATCATATTAATGATGTTGATGTGAAGATGAAGTTGATGGTGATGATGATGAAGTTGATGATGATGATGACGATGATGATGAGGATGAAGTTGATGTGATGAAGAAGTTGCTGATGTTGATGTGATGATGAAGTTGGTGATGATGATGATGGTGATAATGGTGATATTAATGATGTTAATGATGATGATGATGGGATGGTGATAATGGTTATATTAATGATGTTAATGATGATGATGATGAAGTTGATGGTGATGATGATGGTGATAATGGTGATATTAATTATGTTAATGATGATGATGATGGGATGGTGATAATGGTTATATTAATGATGTTAATGATGATGATGATGAAGTTGATGGTGATGATGATGGTGATAATGGTCATATTAATGATGTTAATGATGATGATGATGATGAAGGTGATGAAGTTGATGGTGATGACGAAGGTGATAATGGTCATATTAATGATGTTGATGATGAAGTTGGTGATGATGATAATGATGATGAAGTTGATGGTGATGATGATGATGATGATGGTCATATTAATGATGTTGATGATGAAGTTGGTGATGATGATAATGATGATGATGAAGTTGATTGTGATGATGATGATGATGACGATGATGGTGATGGTAATAAGGGTCATATTAATGATGTTGATGTGATGATTAAGTTGATGGTGATGATGATGAAGTTGATGGTGATGATGAAGGTGATAATGGTCATATTAATGATGTTGATGTGATGATGAAGTTGGTGGTGATGATGATGAATTGATGGTGGTGGTGGTGATGATGATGATGATGAAGTTGATGATGATGATTATGATGGTAATAATGGTCATATTAATGATGTTAGTGATGATGATGATGATGATGATGATGATGAAGTTGGTGATGATGATGATGAATTGATGGTGATGATGATGATGATGATGATGATGATGAAGTTGGTGATGATGATGATGATGAATTGATGGTGTTGATGATGATGATGAAGTTGGTGATGATGATGATGATGATGAATTGATGGTGATGATAATGATGATGATGATGATGATGGTCATATTGATGATGTTGATGTGATGATGATGAAGTTGATGGTCATGTTAATGATATTAAGGATGATGATGATGTAGTTGATGGTGATGATAATGAAGATGATGATGGTCATTTTGATGATACTGATGTGATGATGAGGAAGTTGATGGTGATCATGAAGTTCATGGTCAAGTTAATGATATTAATGATGATGATGATGATGATGAAGTTGAGGGTGATGATGATGATGATGAAGTTGATGGTGATCATGAAGTTCATGGTCAAGTTAATGATATTAATGATGATGATGATGAAGTTGAGGGTGATGATGATGATAATGAAGTTGATGGTGATCATGAAGTTCATGGTCAAGTTAATTATATTAATGATGATGATGATGATGATGAAGTTGAGGGTGATGATGATGATGATGATGATGAAGTTGTTGGTGATGATGAAGTTGATGGTGGTGATGAAGTTGATGGTGATGATGAAGTTGATGGTGGTGATGAAGTTGATGATGATGATGAAGTTGATGGTGGTGATGAAGTTGATGGTCACGTTAATGATATTTATGGTGGTGATGAAGTTGATGGTGGTGATTAAGTTGATGATGATGATGATGATGAAGTTGATGATGAAGTTGATGATGATGATGATGATGATGATGATGATGATGATGATGATGAAGTTGATGGTAATGAAGAAGTTGCTGGGGAAGATGAAGTTTACCGGAGCCGTCAGCAGCACGTTACTGCAGCAGCACGTCTTGCTCGCGTAAGCTGCTGCTTGACCCTTCCCACCAGAGACGCATAGCAGCAGGGGAGCAGCTGTCACCGACAGCACAAGAAGTCACACGAGTGACTTTGTCAGTAAGCACGACAACAAGCAGGAGAAAACTACAACATGGCTCCAAAAGGTTTGTGTTTTATGTTCTGTCCATTTAATAATCGCCAATATGGACCTGAAAAACAAAGGAGACCGCTAGCTAGGTGATAACTTCTCACGGGAATGCACAGTTAGTAACTCTTTTTTAAAGGAAAGCAACCGGAAGGCAGTACGTTTCTTTATTCTGAAAATCTCGGGAAGCTTCGCTCCGTTTCCATGTCAGATTTCCTGTCTTTCCTTCCCCAAAAATGTTGAACTTGACCCGTTTCAGAGGCGTAGCGTGTAGAAAATAGAACCAGCGCGTAAGGGCCTCGACATGCTGCTCCTGAGACGCGGCCGACTCGCGCTGCTGACGGCTCCGGTGGAAAAGCTTCTGTTGACCACAGCGGTTCCTATCAGCAGCTATGACGTGCTGCTGACGGCTCCGTCATGGCTCCAGTGGACAGGAAGGGTTATGGTCATGTTAATGATATTAATGATGATGATGATGATGAAGTTGAGGGTGATGATGATGATGGTCATATTGATGATGTTGATGTGATGATGATGAAGTTGAGGGTGATGATGTTGATGGTCATGTTAATGATATTAATGATGATGATGATGATGATGATGAAGTTGAGGGTGATGATGATGATGATGATGAAGTTGATGGTGATCATGAAGTTCATGGTCAAGTTAATTATATTAATGATGATGATGATGATGATGATGATGATGATGATGAAGTTGAGGGTGATGATGATGATGAAGTTGAGGGTGATGATGATGATGATGATGATGATGATGATGAAGTTGATGGTGATGATGAAGTTGATGGTGATGATGAAGTTGATGGTGATGGTGAAGTTGATGGTCATGTTAATGATATTAATGATGATGATAATGAAGTTGGTGGTGGTGATGATGGTGGTGATCATATTGATGATGTTGATGTGATGATGATGATGAAGGTGATGGTCATGTTAATGATATTGATGATGATGATGATGATGATGATGATGACGATGAAGTTGATGGTCATGTTAATGATATTGATGATGATGATGATGATGATGATGTTGATGATGATGATGATGATGATGATGAAGTTGGTGGTGGTGCTGATGATGGTGGTCATATTGATGATGTTGATGTGATGGTGATGAAGAAGTTGATGGTCATGTTAATGATATTAATGATGATGATGAAGTTGGTGGTGGTGGTGATGATGATGGTGGTCATATTAGTGATGTTGATGTGATGATGATGATGTTGATGGTCATGTTAATGATATTGATGATGATGATGATGATGATGATGATGATTAAGTTGATGGTGATGAAGATGATGATGATGATGGTGGTCATATTGATGATGTTGGTGTGATGATGCTGATGATGAAGTTGAGGGTCATGTTAATGATGTGATGATGATGATGGAGGTGGTCATGTTGATGATTTTGATGTGATGATGATGAAGTTAATAGTCACGTTAATGATATTGATGATGATGATGATGATGATGATGAAGTTGATGATGATGATGATGATGATGGTGGTCATATTGATGATGTTGATGTGATGATGATGATGATGATGATGATGATGATGATGATGATGGTGGCCATATTGATGATGTTGATGTGATGATGATGATGATGATGATGAAGTTTATGGTCATGCTAATGATGATGTGTTTTTGGTGTAAGGTGCCATGCTCCTGGGTTTGGATCAGAACACCCTGCCAGGGATCGCTCAGAGGGTTGTTGAGCAGATGCTGATCTCAGATCAGATTAAAGCCGAGGACCGAGTCAATGTCCTGAGAGTTCTGCTGCTGCCTCACAGGTACCCACACACCTGTCTGACTAGTGTCAGGCCACATGAACGTCAGTCATAACAATCTTGACATACCACCCGAAGGCACTGGACATTCTTTAGATCTTTCTGGGTTCTCCTCAGAAACCAAACAAGCTGGAGAGAAAAAGTTCAGTGTGACTATCAACCAAATAGACATATAGAAACATGTTTCAGCAAAGTAAAATGTGCTAGATCAAAATAAAAGGATGGTATATGTATGCTTTATTAACCAAAAATGACTCCATGTCCTGGAAAGGTGAGGCTTAAGCTAACTTTTTCTTCCGGTATGTAACAAGATGGCACCTCTGCTTGGACTAGCCGCAGTTCCTAGCCACTTTTTCAAACTTTTCTCTACTAACCTTCTTCTTTCCGCCTTGCTTCTGGCTGCGGTCCTCTTTGCGAATGTCCCAGCTACCATCTCGTACGATATCCAGACTCTTTTAACCATCTGTTGGTCTGGGTGTAATGAGGGGTATTGTTGTTAAAATGCTTTTACATTCCCGTGGATGGGAGGGAATGTAGGTATGTGGGTCATTTTTATTTGTAAAGCACTTTAAGTTCACACAGATTAAATATCAGGCTTAATAAAGCAAATCATGGAAATCTCATAAATATTAGAACAAATTCAACTGAGCAGAAAACTAGAAAAATTAAATGTGGGTTGTTTTTTCTAAGACTTTGTTAGTTAATGACTTGATTTGTGATAATCAGATCTCTTTGCTCTCTCACAGAATCCTGGCTGCAGCAAGAGGACTATGTTAGCTTAAATGAGTCGACTCCTTCAAATTATTTAAATCATCATATTGCTCGAAGTACAGGGCGAGGAGGAGGAGTAGCAACCATTTTTCATTCGGACTTATTAATCAGTCCCTTACCAATTAATAGCTACAGTTCGTTTGAACATCTTATTCTTAGTTTTCCTAATCCAGATTGCAAAACTGTAAAACCACTCTTGTTTGTAGTTTTATATTGTTCACCAGGCTCTTACTCTGAGTTTTTGGATCAGATCTCTGATTTTTTATCTGATATGGTGCTAAATACTGATAAAGTCATTGTAGTGGGGGAATTTAATATTCATGTGGACATTGAAAATGATAGCCTCAATGTAGCCTTTAGTAATATCTTAGCCTCAACTGGTTTTACTCAAAGAATACATAGCTCCACCCACTCCTGCCATCATACATTGGACCTTGTGCTGACTTATGGCATAGAGTGTGAGGAAATAACGATCTTTCCACATAATCCAGTCCTCTCGGACCACTTTCTGATAACCTTTGAGTTTTTTATAACTGAGTTCTCCAGACATGAAAGTAGATTTCACTATAGTCGGTCTCTATCTGACAACGCAGTTGCATCTTTTAAATCAACTGTTCCATCTTTACTGTCCTCATCATCTCAGAGGCATGTAGCAGAGGGCAATATTTTCAGTTCTAGCCCCTCACAAATTGATGCATTAGTTGATCATGTTAATTCCTCTTTACATGTGGCATTAGATTATGTTGCCCCTTTAAAAAAATAAGGTAATTAGGGACAGGAAGTTGGCTCCCTGGTTTAATTCTCATTTACGAGCCTTAAAACAAAACTCTAGGAAATTGGAGAGAACATGGCGCTTTACGCACCATGAGGAGGCATACCTATACTGGAAAAATAGTCTTGTGCTTTATAAAAATAAGCTTCGACAAACTAGAACTGCTTATTTCTCATTACTAATTGAGGAGAATAAGAATAATCCTAAATTTCTTTTCAGTACAGTTGCTAAACTTACACAGAATCATAGCTCTGAACCATCTATTCCCTTAGCCCTCAGCAGCAAAGACTTCATGGGATTTTTTACAAGTAAAATTAATTCTATTAGAAACAAAATCTTTAGCATCCTCCCTAATGCGATTTCTTCTTCCTCAGTAAGTGAGGCAGCATCAGAGGTGACTGTAGAACCTCATCTGTGCTTGAACCGTTTTGATCCAGTTGAGCTTTCAGAGTTATCAAAAATATTAGCTTCATCTAAACCTTCAACTTGCATTTTGGATCCAATCCCAACCAAATTATTTAAAGAAGCATTTCCTTTGGTTACTGCCCCCATTCTAGATATAATCAATCTTTCCTTAGTAAATGGATATGTACCACAGGATCTTAAGGTTGCTGTAATCAAACCTTCACTTAAGAAGCATTCTCTGGATCCAGATGACCCAATGAATTATAGACCAAAATCTAACCTTCCATTTTTATCCAAAGTCCTGGAGAAAATAGTGGCCGTCCAAGTATGTGAGCATTTAAACACTAATGCTCTGTTTGAGGAATTTCAGTCTGGTTTTAGAGAGTATCACAGCACTGAAACTGCGTTAGTGAGAGTTACAAATGATATTCTCATGGCCTCAGATAAGAATCTTGTGTCTGTTCTAGTCTTGTTAGATCTCAGTGCTGCCTTTGACACAGTTGATCACAATGTTCTTTTAGAAAGACTTGAACATGTAGGAATCATAGGAACAGCGTTAGGCTGGTTTAAATCCTACCTGTCTGACAGATTTCATTTTGCAAATGTACATGACAAATCGTCTTCATACTCCAGGGTTACTTGTGGAGTACCACAGGGTTCAGTGCTTGGACCAATTCTTTTTACTATATTTATGCTCCCAATTGGTAAAATCATTAGACAGCATGGGATAAACTTCCACTGTTATGCTGACGATACTCAGTTATATTTATCCATTAACCCTGATTAACCTAATCGGTTGGGTAGATTACAGGCTTGTCATGAGGACATAAAAAATTGGATGACTCAAAACTTTTTGCTTTTAAATCAAGACAAGTTGGAAGTTCTCATCTTTGGACCAGAAATCCAGAAAAGGAAATTGCGTAGCCAATCACCTGACCTGAATGGCATTACATTAATCTCCGAGAACAAAGTAAGGAACCTTGGTGTTATCTTTGACCAGGACATGTCATTCAAATCCCAGGTTAAACAGGTTTGTAGGATTTCCTTTTTCCACCTTCGGAATATTGCTAAGATTAGAAGCATCCTTTCCAGGAGTGATGCTGAAAAACTAGTTCATGCATTTATTACATCAAGACTGGATTACTGTAATTCATTACTCTCAGGAAGTCCACAGAATGTAGTTAAAAGTCTTCAGCTTGTCCAAAATGCTGCAGCTAGAGTTCTGATGAGAATTAGAAAGAGAGATAATTTCTCTCCTGTCTTAGCTTCCCTACATTGGCTACCTGTTAAATTCAGAATAGATTTTAAGATCCTTCTTCTTACTTATAAAGCTCTTAATAATCAAGCTCCATCATACATCAGTGATCTGATTGTTCCATACGTTCCTAACCGAGCACTTCGCTCTCAGACTGCAGGTCTACTGGTGGTTCCCAGAATATCTAAAATTAGGATGGGAGGCAGATCTTTTAGTTATCAGGCTCCTCTCCTGTGGAACCAGCTCCCAGCCTTAGTCCGTGAGGCAGACACCTTGTCTACTTTTAAGACTAGGCTTAAAACATTTTTATTTGATAGGGCCTATGGTTAAAATCTGATGTTAGTCTAGATCTAGACAAGTGGGGGAGTAGAGGGAGGTGGAGTGTACAGTCGGTAAAGACGGCCCTCCCTTGCCCTGCCTCCAACATGCCTACATCTAAATAGGATAAATGTATCTCTGTAGTTATGCTGCTATAGGCTTAGACTGCTGGAGGATACACTGACCACTTTTCACACTCTACTGCTTTGTTCTACAATCTGCTCTTTAACTGTATTATTTTCTGCAATTTCAGTTAATAACTTTATTTTTTTCTCTAAGTGTTTTTCTCCCCAGAAGAAGCTACAATGATGTTCTGCTGAGCTGTGGTGGCCTCATGGAGGGGGCCATCGACTAGCACACTGCTGCTAACCACTTAAACATTCTCCCTCTCCTGATAATAACTTTTTGCTTTCCTTGACGTTGGATGTGTTACTGCTAGTTTACCCGTTTAATTATAGATCCACTAGGATACATACAATAAAGCTTATCTCTCACCAAATAGAATAATTACTAAGACATCACAATATAACTATAGACACATTACTTTGTCTTGTGTGTGTGTGTGTGTGTGTGTGTGTGTGTGTGTGTGTGTGTGTGTGTGTGTGTGTGTGTGTGTGTGTGTGTGTGTGTGTGTGTGTGTGTGTGTGTGTGTGTGTGTGGTGTGCTCTGTCTTCTCGATCCCCAGTGAGTCGTGGTGGATGGCTGCTTATACGGAGCCAGGATTCTCTGGAGGTTTCTTCCTGTTAAAAGGGAGTTTTCCTCTCCACTGTTGCTTTATGTTTGCTTAGTATGAGGATTGCTGTAAAGATGCAATTGATGCAATTTGCTGGGTTCCTTATATAGGAAACATTATTTCTGATTGGCTTAATGAACTGACCTGAATTGGAATATTTATTATGTGAAGTGCCTTGAGACGACTCTTGTCGTGATTTGGCGCTATATAAATAAACTTCAATTGAAAACTTGAATTGAAGTTGCATTTCCTGTATGAATTGTGCTACATGGAGCACAACATCATGGCTCGACCATTGCATCAGCACTGCTGATGCACATGCTGGATTAGAATCTGTTAAGATCCTGTATGAGTATTCTGTGTCAGACCATGTACCGCTTAAAGCGATCTCTTGACATGCTGCTGGAAAACAGATTATGTTCTAAGTAATGTACATTTACCCAGACCTGTAATTACAGGTGCTGGCCAGTAAATTAGAATATCATCAAAAGGTTGAAAATATTTCAGTAATTCCATTCAAAACGTGAAACTTGTACATTATATTCATGCAATGCACACAGACCAATGTATTTCCAATGTTCATTACATTTAAATTTGATATTCATAAGTGACAACTAATGAAAACTCCAAATTTGGTATCTCAAAAAATTAGAATATTCTGAAAAGGCTGAATATAGAAGACACCTGCTGCCACTCTAATCAGCTGATTTACTCAAAACACCTGCAAAGGCCTTTAAAAGGTCCCTCAG